CTGTGTTAAGCAACTGAAGTTCAAGGTTTATTACCACTGTATAGATGTTCTATTCAAATACAACTGTCTTTGCCTCTTCTCTGAGTGAATCATCTTCTCCATCCTGATCCATCTTGGAGAAAATGAACCACTTGGATCATCTCATTGGTTTGTAGAAGCTCTTTCTTTCTTAAGGATATGAACATTCTGTTTCTTATATATGCTGCCAATTTTCACCCTGCTTATAATTTTGTTCATATTTTATTTTGCTGAACAGACATTATTTTGCTTATCCTATATTTTCTGAAAAGGAATTTAAAACTTTTATGTAGCCAAAGTTGTCAACTATGTTCTATGGCTTCTAGTTCATTTTTTTAAAAACACAAATAGAAAGGAGCTACACTTGCCACGATCACAATTTTCCACAATTGTCATTCACTGAACAGGCTATCACTTCCCCATAAGGTAGAAGAAGCTATGTCTGGACTTTGTATTTTTCTATGTCTGTGCCTGTTTTATACTTATTTATTTATTATTGCTTTTTAATGTATATTCTTATATGTGATGGATCCAATTCCTCTTTGTTTTTCTATTTCAAATTACTATTGGCATTCATATGTTTTTATTCTTCCAGATAAATTTTACAATTTGTTAAATTTCAGAAAAGAAAATGTGTTGGAATTCTATATGAAATTATATTAAATGTATATTTTGATTAAAAATGTATATTTTGATGAAATCTTCATTTATGTGGATCTCATTAAAATTTTGGTTTTTTTTTAAATGTGGAGATTTTTGTTAAATCTACTTTTAGGTATTTTATAATTTGTGTTGCTATTGTGAATATGTTTTATTTTTATATTAGATTGGATTATTATTAAATTTTATCACTCTGTATTTAACTGGTAACACAAAATAGATCAACTTCAAAGACCCAGGGATGTAATTTAAACTCATTCCTGTTAATAATTACCCAGACTCTAGTTAAGATAGGTGGCGTACATAGTGTCTCAAAGGTGAACAAACGTCTTTGGCAACTCCAGATGAGAAAGCGTGGCATCTGTCTACCTGGACCGTATCACCACGGCTCTGCGCGGAGCCTCTTCCTCACTCCATTTCCATATTGGGTCCTATGAAAACTCTTTCCAAAATTCACCAGGAGGCTGTTTTTCAGGAAGGTTACTTTCCGTGTTATATTTGTGATCCGTATGAAGCTCCCAGAGAGGAATTTCCCAGTCTTTGCTCCTCCTGAGAAACTGCTCTGTGCTTGCACCTCGTGGCCCCGACTGTGCGCCTGTGAAGGAGCATTTCCTCCCACACGGGCTGCTGGAGAGAGCACAGTCTCCACATTTCACTCACCTCTAACACGTGCGTTAAGATTTTCAGGGACGCATTTGAATTCTCAGCTTATTCCTGGACATATTGAACTTTCTTTCCTTTACTTATGCCTGTTTTTCCTTTTTAAATTTTGTTTTATTTAATTTTAATTTAATTTATTGGGGTGATATTAGTTAATAGATGTATACAATTCTACAACACATCATCTGTTCATCTGTATTCACCACCCCAAGTCAGGTCTTGTTCCATCACAATTTATCCCTCCTTACCTTCTTCTACGTTCTCCTCCCATCCTCCCTTCTCTCTGGGAATTGCCATACTGTTGTCTGTGGTGTGTATCCATGAATCTTAATCATTTTTTCTTTGCTTCATCTCTTCAACCTTCTCACCCAGCCCTTATCGCCTCCCTTCTGACAGCTGTCTGTTCTCTGTATCCATGAGTCTTTATCCACTTCATTAATTTTGTTCTTTAGATTTCACATATAAGTGAAATTATACAATATTAATTAATTAATTAATTATAGTGGGAGGATAATTTTTAAGTATATTTTATTGATTATGCTATTAGAGCTGTCCAACTCTTTTCTTCCCTTTATCTCCCCCTACCCTGTACCCTCACTCCCTCTAACATTCCCTCCCTCCTTAGTTCATGTCCATGGGTCATCACATAAGTTCTTTGGCTTCTGCATTTCCTATACTATTCTTAACCTCCCCCTGGCTATTTTGCATCTACCACTTATGCCCCTTATTCCCTGTATCTTTTTCCCTATTCTCTTCTGTTACCCTTTCTGCTGATAACCCTCTATGTGATCCTCATTTCTGTGATTCTGTTCCTGTTCTAGTTGTTTGCTTAGTTTGTTTTTGTTTTTTTTTAGGTTCAGTTGTTGATACTTGTGAGTTTGTTGTCATTTTACTATTCATATTTTTAATCATTTTTTTCTTAGATAAGTCCCTTTAATATTACATATAATAGGAGCTTGGTGATGATGTACTCCTTTAACTTGACCTTACCTGGGAAGCACCTTATCTGCCCTTCTATTCTAAATTATAGCTTTGCTGGAGAGAGTAACGTAGGTTGTAGGACCTTGCTTTTCATGACTTTGAATACTTCTTTCCAGCCCCTTCTTGCTTACAAGGTTCCTTTTGAGAATCAGCTGATAGTCTCGTGGGAACCCCTTTGTAAGTAATTGTATCCTTTTTCTCTTGCTGCTTTTAAGATTCTCTCCTTAGCTCTGGTTGGTGTGGCTCAGTGGATTAAGTGCCCACATGTGAGCTGAAGGGTCACAGGTTTGATTCCCAGTCAGGCCACATGCCTGGGTTGCAAGCCAGGTCCCCAGTAGGAAGCATGCAAGAGACAACCACACATTGATGTTTTTTTGCCTCTCTTTCTCCTTCCCTTCCCCTTTCTCTAGAAATAAATTTATTTTTAAAAGATTCTGTTTATTTATCTTTAGAGGGGAAGGGAAGGTGAGAGGAAGAGGAATGTCGATGTATGGTTGTCTCTCATGCATCCCCCTCTGGGAACTGGCCTGCAACCCTGGCATGTGCCCTGACTGGGAATCGAACTGCAATCCTTTGGTTCGAAGGCCCACACTCAATCCACTGAGCCATACCAGCCAGGGCTTCTAAAAATAAATTTAAAAAATCATTTAAAAAAGATTCTCTCTTTATCTTTAATTTGGGTAACTTATTTATGATATGCCTTGGTGTGTTTCTTCTTGGATCCAACTTCTCTGGAACTCTTTGAGCTTCCTGGACTTGCATGCCTATATCCTCCATTATTTGGGGGAAGTTTTCCTTAATTATTTTTCAAATAAATTTTCAATTTCTTGCTCTTCCTCTTCCCCTTCTGGCACCCTTATGCTTCAGGTGTTGGAACATTTACAGTTTTCCCAGATGTTCCTAAGCCCCTCCTCATTTTTTGAATTCTTGTTTCTTCATTCTGTTCTGGTTCAATATTAATTTTTTCCTCCTATTCCAAATCATTCATTTGATTCCTGGTTTTTTCCCCCTCACTGTTGGTTCCTTATATATTTTTCTTTATTTCATTCTGTATAGCCTTCATTTCTTACTTTATTGTGCGTTCATACTCAATCATTTTTGTGAGCATCCTGATTACCAGTGGTTTGAACTCTACATTGGATGGGTTGGCTATCTCTTCATTGCTTAGTTCTTTTTGGGGGTTTTGCTCTGTTCTTTCATTTTGGCCATATTTCTTTGTCTCAGCACACCAGTCTGGATGAATGTTTCTTCTTTCATTCCTTTGTTGTTGGACTTCCACACAGTTCAATTTTCTGGCAGTTCTGGGTTTTGTTTGTTGTTTTTTTTTTACTTTAAATTGGTTGTTCTTCTTCTTTTGGTTGTGCAAGTTAGCAAACCTACAACTCTATTTTGTCTGGAAGCCCCCAATATTCTCTTTTTTTGTTACATCTTTCATATCTTTGAAATCTACTTTAAATAGTCTCTGGATCAAAGCAGACTTGAAAATGCTTAAAAGATTTTGTATGCTCTGACAGGTGTCCAACCTTTTGGCATCTCTGGGCCACATTGGAAGAAGAGTTGTTTTGGGCCACACATTAAATATACAAACACTAATGAAAACTAATAGGCAAAACAAAGGTCCATGCATAATTTAGAGTTTTGTATTGGGCTGCATTTCTAGCCATCCTAGGCAAGTCTGTAGGATGTGGGTTCGTCACCCATGCATCCATGTGATAGTTCATGAAATTGCATGATAAATATAATAATCACACTGTCTGATATACAGAACTTGAAATAAAAAATTATACAGCCCTTGAAATCACAAACTGGTTCATACAGAATAATCTTGGCCTTAATTTCTAAAATCAAACTCACTTTTTAACACCTTCTAATAAAATGGTAAACTTTTAAACTTTGAACAGGTAAACTTTAAAGTCTGACCAAGAAATAAATACTTCATGAGATTCATCATATTACTTATTTTTATCTCTCTTACTATTTGAAATGTGTGTTTGCTCTGTTCTGTGCACAATTCCTCAGCAAAGATTTATTCTGTTTCTATTTTTCAAAGTTTCCCAGAGAAGCAGAATTTTAAAGTTGTTTAAATTTAAAATAATGTTTTTGTCACTCAGCATTAAAATGTGTAAAAGCAAAACAGAATTGCTTTCAACTAGAGGTATATTTCCAAGTCAACATAGATAGGACAAATACAATTTATGGAAATAGGTTTTAGAAATATTTATAGCTTAGTGGAGTATCTTTAACATTGTTCTAAACACATTTTTAAAACAAGAACAAAAATTTTTAGAATTTGTAATACTGGAATAGCTCTATAAATATTCCAGCTATAAAGAACTGTAATACTATGAAAGTGAGAATGTGACTGAAGACACTGAATGGCACTGAGGTTATTTAACCACGTGTTCCTGAAGTGTTCCGGGCGTGAAGACTGACAGCGGTGAGGCCACAGAGTTGTCTGGGATCAGCAGCTGAGTGTTTTTACGGCAGGAGTCCCAACGGGCAGAGACAGTCCTTTGGAAAGACTGCGGGGATTAATTTTGACAATAATAAGCTTTTCATGAGGGACAGGAAGCATATGACGATCTAATCAGGCTAAACTTTTGCCAAAGCCTGAATTCAGAAGCATAGTCATGTCAATCCAAGTTTCTCATTTCCACACAGAGAAAAGCTTTCTAATACTTTTATTTAAATAAATAAAAGTTATAGGTGAACTTCATGGAAAATGTATAGAATAAATTTCTTGTTTGAGCCCTTTTGTTTTGATAGTTTTTGAGAAATTTGTAAAAATCTGCTTCTTTACATTTTAGTTTCATTAGTCCACCTGGATGGAACATGAGGTCAACAATGTATATTTCAGGAGGGAGACCCCCAATCACTTCCTTCTGAGATCCATCCATCAGCCAACTTCGTTCCATGCTCTGTGCACTCCCCTAGAACCAAAGAGCAGCCTATGTCACTTTTATCAGCCAGAGCCTGTGGGTGAAAACACAAGATCAACCAAGAGTGAAGAGGGAGAGGGGTGAGGGTAAGTCCTTAGTGTAAGACCCACCTTGGCTGAAGGCGAAATATACAACTCTTGCAGAGAAGGGCTTAGACCGGAGGCTGAAACAATGTGGAATATTGTGCTAGGAGCCAACAAAATGTGGTGGGTTTCCTTGATCCTTAAGATCCTGTAGATTTAAAACCTCTGTGTAGGTCCTGCTGGGAAGTGACATTTTTCAGGCGGTTCCACTGCATTGTATCAGCACAAGATTGATAATGTCTTTGGAGAAAAGCTATTCCACAGGCTTTCAGCACTGGTGCATCTATTAATCTTTCCATGTGCCTAGGCTGCTCTCTGGCTGTGATACACAGTGAGATTGAATGGAGGGACCAAATGGGTGGGGGCCCATTTCTAGCCAGTTTATTCTGGGTGATGTAGACAGACAGCTGTTGTAGAGCAGGAGAGAAATTGCGAGTGGTTGGTCCTTCCCAGGCTGCCTGCTGCCACCTTCTCAGGGGTTGCTTATGTTCTCAGGGAGCTGACTCTTCAATTTGTCTTGACGTTGAGGTTATTTTTAAAAAGTAGCTCAGTGGATTGAGCATGGGCCTGTGAACCAAAGGATCGCAGTTTGATTCCCAGTCAGAGCACTTGCCTGGGTTGCAGGCCAGTTCCCAGCAGGGGACACATGAGAGGCAACCATAGCCTCTCCTTCCCTTCCTCTCTAAAAATAAATAAATAAAATCTTTAAAAAAATTTTTAAAAGGAGCTTTAAAATAATCTGGAAACTTCTTAGCCACATTACAGTGGATAAGAGAGCTGGATCACACTGCCTGGGTTTGAATTTCAGCTCAGCCACTTACTAGTTGTTGTCACCTTATGCAGATGACTCGGGCTCTGTGTGCTTCTATTTCTTCTTCTGTGAAATGAGGAAAACAGCAGTCTAACCACCCTCCACATAGGGGGTTTATAAAGATGAAGGGAATTAATTCGTGTTGAGTACTTAGAACGTGAATGCTGGCACAGACTGAGTACTCAATAAACGTGCCTGGTACTAGAAGGCAAGAATTGTGTTGTTTCAATAATCTCTATATTCATGTATTAAGGTAATTTATCTAATGTATAGCACTCTGTAATATTGTGACTTCTACTTAGAAATGTATTTTGGTCTTCAGGGTTTCTGGCACAGAACTCCTAAAACCCTTAGAATTTCCTAGATGAGAGCCATAAAGGTGCCTTTTGTTATGCTAATGAATGACTGTTGGACCTCACCTGAGGATGAAGCTGGTTGCCCAGAGAATCAACCACTTGATTAGAGGTTTGGAACTTTCAGTCCTACGCCCTCCCACTACCTCTGCAGAGAGAGGAGGGGCTGGAAGTTGAATCAGTCAATGGCCAATGCCTATGTAATGACGCCTCCCTCCGCAGAAACCCCAAAGGACAGGGTTCCAGAGCTTCTGGGTTGGTGAACAGGTAGAGCTTTGGGGTAGTGGCCCTCCTGAGGTCATGGATGCTCCACACCCTTTCCCCACACCTTCACCTGTGTTCATCTCTCCACCTGGCTGTTACAAAGTTACATTCTTTCATAATAAAATGGTAATCTAAGAGGTACGATGTTTCTCTGAGTTCTCTGAGCAGCTCTTGAAAACTAATTAAACCCAAAGGTCCGGTTGTTGGAACCCCCAACCTATAGCTGGCCAGTCAGAAGCACAGGTGATAACCTAGTCTTGTGACTACCATCTGAAGTGGAGTAGGGAGCCATCTTGTAACACTGAGCCCTTATTCTGTGGAATCTAATGCAATCTCTGGGTAGATAGTGTCAAATTGAGTTGAATTATAGAAACCCAGCTGTTGTCCGAAAATTGCTTTTATATGTACGACACCTTCCCTCCTATGTTGGAGTTAGTACTAGAATCATTTAACACTCATAGTTTAGTGGGGTAGAGAGAAAAAAAATAAACATACAGGGGTTTGCAAAAGTAGATTTACAGTTGTTTGCGTAGAAAATAATACAATAATTAATCAACAATAATACAAGAAACTGTATATTTTGCATACTCACAACTATAAATCTACTTTTGCCCACCCCTGTATAATTATCTTTTCCAAAATAACTTTTCTGAAAAAACCGATCTCTTACTCCATGGCAAGACACATTAAATAATCAAAACAACGTCATGAAAGAGATACTATTGTATTTCCTGTTTTACAGAGAGTAAAGCTGAGGTCAGGTAATTTTCCAAGGTCATAGTAGGTGGTGACCCGATGTGAGAGCCAGGGACTCGGTCTCAGGAGGATGAGTTCTGAATCTCAGAATGACACTACCTGCAGCTGAGATGAATCTGAAGTCCCTGGGGTTTTTGGTGAAATGAGAAATCCCACCATTGGCTTAGAGAAGAGGTGAAAACGGAAAAGCTTAGAAAGAAGGGCTGATGTGGGGCATGGCTGCTGAGGAAAACGGGAGACGCCTGTGACTAGGAGCTGGAAAAAGGTGGCCGGGCTGCCTGCTAGTCCACCCACGATGGGCACCCTGAATCCTCTGTGACAATCCTCACTGTCATGTTCTGCAGCTGGAGTGGCATCAGTGGGAAGGACAGGCAATCAGACTGGTGGGCTGGCCAGGCGGAGGAGTAAAAGGATCAGGGGCAAAAAAATGAGGGAAATTAGTGAGCAAATTATAAGGTCTGTGGACAATTCATCTAGGCTGCCAAGGAAACAAAAACTGAAGCCAAAAAAGAGCCAAAAACTGGAAGAAAATGGGAGAGACAAAGAATATATGTAAGATGAGTGAAAGATTTAGGAGGGGTGAAAGGATAAGGGACTTTATCAGTGAGTCAAGTTAGTGTTCAGGATTTCATTGGTGGGCAGGCAAGGCCTGGGTAATTAATTGCATGAGTCAGTTGAAATATCAGGGTAAAGAATTCAGGTTGGCATAATGTTAGAGACTGGGTACTTGTCCCCTCCCCAAAATTTACATGTTGAAGCTCTACCCCCAAATGTGATGGTATTTGGAGGCGGAGCCTTCAGAAGGTAATTAGGTCCAGATGTGATCACGAGGGTGGAACTTCCATGGTGGCATCAGTGCCCTTATAAGAGGAGGGAGAGACCAGAACTCTATCTCTTTGTGCCAGGTGATTTTACACTAAAAAAAAGGCAGATGCAAATCAGGAAGTGGGCCCTCATCCAACATTGAATCTCCCGGTATCTTGATCCTGGATTTCTCAGCCTCTGGAACTATGAGAAGTGAATCTTATTGTTCAAGGCACCCTGTCTATGCTATTTTTTTACAGAAGCCCAAGCCAACTAATCTGGTATCTATGAGACACTTACATGTATCTGGCTAGAGGGTAGGGAGATACACAAATGTGGGGTCAGGAGACATTTGTGGGACAGAGGAAAGCATCTGGAAGGTAGGTGGTATTTAAGGCCACAGGGAAGGATGGCCTCACCCTGTGAAGTACATAGAGGAAGAAGAGAGAAAAACCTGTATCAGAGCCTCGAAGGACCCCAGTGTTTGAGAGAGGGGTAGAGGAAAAGAGGTCTCCAAAGGAGACAAGATGAAGTAGTAAGAGAGGACAAGTTACTAAAGAGAGCAGTGTCAAAGAAAGAGAATGATCAAGGATAAATTCTATTGTCTATCAAGTAAGACAGACAACAGATCCCTCTCGTTCTTCTTGAGGGAGAGCAAAGGCCATACTGCAGTGAGTTGGGGAAAAAAATGAGAGGTGCGCCAAGGAGGGACAGAGTCAGGATGACTTGGTTTTGACCAGGAATGAGAACTGTCTATGGTAGAAGCATTATTGTAGGTTTTCATTCAGATAAGAATGGGTTCACATTCCAGTTGGACCTCTGGTTGACCTTAGGTAAATTTCTTCTCTAAGTATCTGTTTTCTTATCTCTAAAACAAGGAGTTATTTCACCATTGGCATTTTTGAGACTCTTCACCATTATATTTATCAAACGCCTGGCACACAGGTAAAAGAGGTGGTGGTGGTGATTATAGGAGCTGTAGTAGTGGCTGTGGATATCATGAGAAGAGAAAATAGACTTACTCTTTAAGTATGTAGATTTAATTTTAGATTTTAAAGGAGAAACAGCTAAGAGAGAGAAAGAGATTAAAGACGGGAGAGGAGAATCGAAAGAGCAAGAAATCCAAGGAGTTAGAACAGACTGACATCTGGATTATAAACAGAATTAGGGACTGGAGGCAATGTACACGTGGACGTAATGAGGTTTATAGGTACTTGGGAGAGGATAAGAATTTTATACATTCAGTCTATAGTTTAGAAACCATTTCCTTAGCTCCTATTATATCACCAACAATGGATACAATGAAGAAAAACAGAGATCTCTTAAACCCGATCCTTCTCCAGTGTACCGCACCTCAGTGAATGGCGCCACTGTTACCAGCTGCCCCTCCTAGAACTTAGAAACCATTCTGTCTTTCCCTTGTTTTCTCTCACGCCACACCTGCGCAATCAGCAACTCCTTTCAGCTTTATCTCTTGAATCTCCCTCTAAATTCACCCCCTCTCTCACATGCTCAACACTGCCTTCGGTAAAGGCCATTCATACCTCTTGCTCCAGTAACCTTCCAACTGGTCTTCCTGTCTCCAGTCTTGCCCCTGCTCTAGTCCATTCCACATTCTGTTGCCTGAAAGGTCTGTGAAAATAGTGTTGCCCATTCATTTCCCCTCAATAACTTTTGGCTACTCACATGGTGCTTTATGATTTGGTCCTTTAGACTTATCCAACCCTTCTTTCTCCATCCAGACAAACTATTCTACATTTCCCAAATGGCCCATTGACTCATACCTGTAATCTTGTATAAAAGGTTTACTTTGTTTAGAATACTCTTGCCTCGTTTCTTATCTGCTGGAATCCCATGTCACCTCTAACATATAATTTTCTCTCCTAAGACTTTCCCTGACATCACCTCAGAACCCAGAATTCTGGCTTAGGTATGCCTTGTATACAGGGACAGTTCCTCTGGTGTCTTTATATTCCCAGACCCCAGAAGAGGCCGTGGCTTCTGGTTGGTGTGTGATAAATATTAAATTTATATGCTTTTAACAGTCTGTGAATATATATGTACTTCTGTGTATGTGTATACACACACATATACATCTCAAATCTAAGTGATAGGATTAATATTATCCAGTTGGCAGCTGGCTCACTCTATTATGATAAAGAGAAAACATTTTTACCTAATGGCAAATGAGGCAAAACATCTTAAATATCTTGAAAAGCAAAGCTCAATGGTAGAAGATTCCTTCTTTGATTTGTCCAATTGGCACAACATTGAATTTAAGTTGAAATTTTATTTTACTTATATGAAGTTGCCAGCTGAAATTTTGTAGTTTCTCTTTTGGAATTTTACTGCCCATTTTCCTGCCACATACCTGTGTCAATTACATTGAAATCAAATCATTCAAGTTTAATATCTCACTTTGGATGCTTTGAGTGTAACTATATGGGTAATTATAAAAACTATATTCCCTCTGATTTTAGTGTTTGCTTTTTTCTTTAAAATGTACTTATTGTAACTAGGTTAACATTAGGCTTACTGAATTCAAAATGTCATATAGAAACTGAAATTCTAACAATTTTATTCAACACATGGAAAGAAATGCATGTGAATTTTCCCAATAAGATACAAATCAGTATCATTAAATTAGTATCAATGGAGATTTAGAATTTTATCCTATTCTTGAAAAGTATTTGTAAATGTCTATCTGAAATCCAAGGCATGGTACTAACGTATGGTCTTTCTTTCAAGAAATTTAAACTCAGAGACAAGACAAACACATAGAAATTTTCCCGTTAGACTTCTAAATATTTTTAAGTTTTATAATGTTTTTCTTTTAAATTTCATTATGTTTCAAATTTAGTGAAAGACATGACATTTACATAACAGTGAAGTTAGAGGAGAGAGGAAGAAGCAAAAAGGACAAACAAGAAACAGGTGAGGATGCAGGATGGCCATGGTACACTTTGCCTACGGGTTTCTCTTAATGTAGGTTCTCCCTGAAGAAATCAGGAAACGCACCTGCAAAAATCTTCTGTAGACTAAGGCTACTGCATCTTAGAGTAAAGTCAAAATTGCATATTTTAAAGAAAGAATTTCTCCTTGTTGCATATGGAAGGGAGCAAAAAACAATTGTGAAAAGCGAGAGAAAGAGCTGAGGAGAAAGATTCTGACCTGACCCACAGTCTCACTGCCCAGGTGCCCTGTAATGAAGGCCAGCAGCTCAAAGCATGAGGACAAGTCTCTGTCTCCATCCTGATGTAGACCCAGGTTAAAAAACAATTATTTGGAAATGATGAGAAAGTATTTCTGATAGGAACAAAGTATGAGGGAATTTGACAAACGTTGAAATGAGCTAAACCAGAGTTCTGCTTAAGCCATCACTTCTCAAGGATATGAGGAATCTTTGGTAGCCAAAAAAAATGCTTTCGTCCAGTTTTGCCTGATAAGAAGTCAACGATCTGGTGGCTGGGCTTCTTGTAGTTGTCACATTGGGGTTTGATGACTGCATCTCACTTCTGTTTGGAGTAGATACAAGTTCCCATGGAGACCGCAGCTGTTGCACAATCCAGTAGCTCACCTGCTGGTTGGTGTCAATCAAGAGGGCATCCTCCGTTTCCAGTGATTCCTGTTCCCTTACAGCTACCAAGTTAAGTTCTCAGCTTCTCTTAGTGGAATCAGATTAGACACTGAGCCTGCCCAAACATTTCGGTATACTCACTCTCCCACTTTCGAGCAATGTGAAACGTATAAAGATGGGAGACAGTTGTTTGTATTAGTAAACAGCTTGTGAATTTACAAATAATTCACAGTAGAATTTTTTAAATTGTGAGAAATTTAAAGAAGTTCCCTACCCTATATACACAATAAATGATGTACTTCTCGAACTTTTGATTCATCAAACAAGGTGATTCCTCAGGATCCCATTGGAAGATGCTTCTTGTGGTTTAGCAGGAGAAAATGACAGGCATCTTTGCCTGTTTTTATTTTTAAATGTATTTATTTATTTTAGTAAAGCATAGTTGGCATATGCACAGGCATTTTTAAAGCAATTTCTAACTCCTAGTTCTGATTCTTGGCAGAAATATGATCTAAAATAGAAACTGAGAAAAAATTCAATTCATGTGCTTCCGCTTCAGAATCAGAGGTAGGGAGCAGCAAAGTTCAATTTTATTATGGAGCAGTTGTCTAAAATTTGGCTAAAACTGAAAACCAGTAAAATAAAATATTTTTCAGAAATTAAAAATGTACATGTGTGTATAGACAACTTACTTTGCAAGAGCTTCAACCTGTTCCTTTGTGTTTGTTATGGGAAGTATTGGTTTGGTCACTTCACACACGTAAGCACAGAAGTAGGATCAGAGGGAGGGTACCATTCTTTACAGGGGCCTCCTTCTCCAGCCCATTTTTGTGCTGCTGTAACCTCTTCCTCCTCCTTCAGCTTTTCCTCCTCTTTATTTCCTCTGCCTTTCCTTTAAGAGTAAACAACAACAATAAAAATGAATAAGCACTCACTGTGCTCTGAGTTCATCTGAAGAACACCCCAGAAAATCAGTGTTTATACCTCAATGACCACACCGCACAGTTGTCAAATTTTCCATGACAATGATATAGTTTTAGAGTTCCTATGTTTTGCAGTTCTCTTAATTTTCAAGAGAACACTATAGGATTGATATATATAATGAAAATCATGTATTTGTCTTTTGTAAAATTGCATAGCAGCCTGTCTGGACCATTATAAGTATGCAATAAATATATATTGAATTGGAAAAAAATCGATTGCCTTCTCAGGAAGTCTATGCTGGTTTCATATCATCTCCTGTTTCAGTTGACACCTTCTGAAAGAAGAATTTGTACCACAGTTTTTAAAAAATATTATCCAAAATGTAGAAAAAAGCAAAACAAAACAAGGATGGCATTGAATTAACATCACCCAGGGGCAAAGACTCACCAAAAGTTTTCCTGGGCAAATGTAATTAGTTATTTTTTATTATTAAATTTGTTGGGGTGACATTGGTTAATCAATTCATACAGGTTTCAAGTGTACAACTCAACAAAACATCACCTGCACACTGCACTGTGTGCCCATCACCCAAAGTCTCTCTCGTTCGGTCCCCATTTATCCCTCCTTTGTCCACTTTCACCGCCCCACACCCCCTTAAAATGTCCTTAGTTCTCCACTTGGAAAAAATGGAATGTGCTTAATAAACAGTAAAGATACTGTTTAATTAAAATATACTATTAATTAAAAGTTTCTGACTTAGAGAATTTAGTAGTTATTGTATAGATTTTTATTTAGTTAGATGCAAATTATTTCTGTCTAGTGGAAAAGATACTTCCAAAGGTTATCATTTATTGTTCTAGAGGATGGTTAATATCCAACAGGATGGTTTTTTTATGTGGCAATCCTTTTCTAACTTTTCTAAATTAAATACCTAGCTTCTCAAATGTTCTTGGAACCAGTGTTGACATCTTACTGACTGTTTCTAGTTAATGAGTTGAACAAAAAGAATGGTGTGGGTTCTTTTGCCAGGTAACCTAGAACAAGCACACTTTACCCTGTGTCTCCCACTCAATACAGTCATAAAACCTGGGAAGAATATATACAATAGCTATTTGAAAACTCTGAAAAGTAATCAATAGCAGAGAGACCAGAGAAGACATTGAATTACTCCCGAACTGTTGGTGAGTTTAACTTGTTTATTTATTTTCATCCACTATTCTACAAGCTGAACTAAACATAGCCCCAAATGTGAAAGTGGGCATCTGCACAGACAGTTGAAGCTCAAGGAGAAGCCTATTGGAGAAACAGGAAAGAGAGAAAGTGAAGAAAATCCCTGCTTGTTTCTTATTTTTCTCTGTTCTCTTGTGCTCCAGCCCCTGAAGAATCCTGTGACAGTGATCGCAGTGGTGGCATCAGGGTCCCTAAGAGACTAAGAGTACCTTATACTCAGTCTTCCTGCTGTTTGGTTATAGATATGGATACAGTCATGGCAAGAGTGTATCAGGGCAGGTTTTGGCTTGGAGACTGAAAAGGAAGCCCCAACAGCCAGAAAAGACAAAGAAGATCATGGAGAGGTAGGAGCTCAGGAAAGTAACCCATAAAAATTTGTTTATGGATTTCTCCCACACTGTGTGTGCATGGTTCTGACTCAAAAAAGCACTCGCCTAAGTTTTGAGGGTTAAACTATGGGACAGACCATGTTCCAAGTCCCAAACTGGAAACTAGTTGGCATACGTGTAGGACTGATTCAAACAGTACTCCAAAGCCTTTGAAAATGAGCCTGACAGTGGAATGAAAACTCACAGAACACTGGTTGGAATATGAAGATTGAAAACGACTGTGTCAATTACCTTTTAAAACACACACATATACACAACAGAGAATTCTTCTTAGAATGTACATAATACCCATAAATAAGAACTGTAGGACTCATAACATAATATTACAATCTAATTACTCAGCCTCAACTCATATGAGAAAAGACAATCAATAGAGGACAATGCCCACATGATGCAGATGTAACATCCAGCAATTAGTAATGAACACTCTTGGAATAAATAGAAAGTCTTAGAAAGAAATAGGAGATATAAAATAGAATATTGGAGTGAAAGAACACAATACCAAAACTTAGCAAAATGTAATTTTGAATAGGTTTAAGAGAATAGAGATAACAGAAGAAATAATCCAATAACTTGAAGATAGATCAATATGAATTATCCAATCTGAACAACACAAAGAACAAAGATTGAAGAAACAACTGATGGAGTCTCAGGGACTTGTTGTGCAATAAACAAAGACCTAATATTGGTGTCATCAAACTCCCAAAAGAAGAGAAAGATGAAGTACTTAAAAAAAATGAATCATTAGGAGTGAGATGGCTTCATCAATTTGGTTAAAGACATAAATCTACATAGTCAGGAATTGTAGTAAATGTCAATGAAATAAACCCAATGAATTTACCTCCTGGGAAATTCCGACACATCAAAATGAACTATCGAACCCCAAAGGCAGCCCTGGCAGGTGTGGCTCAGTTGGTTGGAGCATTGTCCTGGGTTGTGGGTTTGGTCCTGGTTGGGATGTGTGTGGGACGCAGCAGACTGATGTTTTTCTTGCATCAATGTTTCTCTCTAGCTCTTTCCCTTCCTCTTTCTCTGGAATCAATGAGTATGTCCTCAGGTGAAGATTTAAAAAAAAGGGCAAAGCAGATGACATGATTGTCTATGTAGAAAATCCCAAGAAACCTACCAAAAAACAAAGAAACCTCCTAGAGCTAACATGTGAGTTTATCAAGGTTTCAAGATATCAGATCAACATACAAATTGAATCTGCATAGTTCAGTGGCCATCAGCTCATCACTGGTACAGACCATTATGTCCCAGCTGGCTACCATCTGACCTTGGCATTCCTAGAGCACAGGAGCTCTATGAAGGGCTCCAATGCCCCTGAATTTCCTAACTGCAAGCAGAAACCAGCATTTAATGCATTAGGAGTCCTGTATATAAGCATTATGCCTTCCAAAAAATCTCATTATTTGATTGTTTTAAAGGTTGTAACTATGTAAAAACATTTTAGGATGTGTCCCTATTTAGGTTTATTAAATTCAGGGGAAAGGTCAATTGCAAACCCCTATATACAGGAGCCAATTTTCTGCTCAAAGTCAACAAGGGGCCACAGTAAAGACATTGAGGGAGGTCACAGTGATTTTGCACAGGGGGGCAACTGGGAAAAGAGCCATCTTCTCACTGCCCACCAGTGGGATGCCCTGTACTTATTCACTCAGCTCAACACTGAATGTCCATTTGGCCCTAAGGTAGACAGAAGAATGGTTTCCCAAAGATGCCCTTATTCCTAGAAGAGATTTTGCAAATGTAATTAAGTTAAGGAGTTGAGATGGGAAGATTGTCCTAGATTATGGGTTGAGCCCAATGGAATCATAAGGGTACTTAAAAGAGGGACACAGAGTGCCAGGAGCAGAGAAAGGAGGTGCATAGAAGCAGATGTTGGAGTGATGGAGGAAGGGGGCACAGCTGAGGAATGCAGGTGCTGGTAAAAGCTAAAAATGGCCAAGAAATGGGATTTTCCCCAAAGCCTCCAGAAAGGATATCACTCGGCTGACACCTTGATTTTAGCCCATTTTCAGATTTCTGACCTCTCGAACTGTGAGATAGTGGGTTTGTATTGCTTTAAGACACGAAGCTGTGGTGGTTTGTTATGGCAGCAACAGGAAACTAACGCAGCCCCCATGGCTGGGCAGGGGGCGCTGCTGCAGGCAGGGCAGGGCCTCGGACGTGGCCGCCAGGTCCGCAGTGTGGCCCCAGCAATGCTGAGGCCATAACCTACACAGAGACCCGTTTCTGTTATCCTTGCACAGTGCCTTTTCTTCGTTTCTCCAAAAAGTAAAAAAGAGAAGAAAAATAGTAAAAGAACTGGACAGAATTACATTCATTACATTATTAAAAGAAATTACTTATGCACAAAATTATTACAACCAGAAAAAAAGATTTGACCGAGCTATTGTTTCACTGTCTAAAATGCAGTTCTTTATTATCTGAGCCTGGAGGACATAAAGAATGTTCTGCCAGTCTCTGTGTGCAGCATCCGAAGACACGAGTCCTGGTGGAATATGATCCAGTTTTGATCGTGTTTCTTCTCAAAGGGACCCTGGCAGAGACTGCACATCAGCACAGGTGATTGGGCAGCTTAGAAAAATTTCCTGAGGCATCTTATGCTTAACAGGCCAAATTTCTGAACATCTTTATTTCTGGTATAACATAAGATATATAGTAACCCTGTTCCATGTGTTCTTTTGGCAAAGATGTAATTATCTATTAATTTCTCTACTCATTCTTTCATTCCTCCATTTGTTCATTCATTCATTTCATTTCATTTGTTCATTTATTTAACAAGTGTTTACTCACCATGCACTATGGGCCAGGTGTGTATTAATGATGTGAACACAAGAAAGAAAACACTCAGTTCCCTTCCCTAAAGGAGCTTATTAGAATCTTTCATACAGGAACCATATAATGTAACACAAGGCCCAGGGACACCTGCACAGGGTGTAATGAATGGAAGCACGGAGGAGGATGCACCCGAGTTTCAGGACTGGAGAAAGGTCTCATAAAAGAGATGACTGATCTGGGTTTTGAAGGAGAAAACAGGAGTTTATCGGGATGACAAAAGTGAAACTAGCTCCCCAAGCAGAGGAAACAAGGAACTATAAATAAGAGAACAGGGCATACTGGCAGAATCACAAACAGCACAGTATTCTGAGGTACAGAACTCCACTTGGAAGAGGCTTCAGGCTCAGGCAGGCAGGTGCAGATCACTGAGGGCCCTTGCACAGCACTCTAAGGAGCTCACCTTTAATCTTGGGGCAATGGCACACCTCTGGGGACTTGCAATAATGTGATGAGGGTCACACATTGGAGAGATCAGTCTGGAGGCAGTGTGGGGAGAAGGAGGTGACAGGGGTAGAGAGATCATTGAAGAGACAGCTGCAATGCTCCAGGAAATAGATGGACTACTCTGCAAGCTGCACGGAGATGTAGCCAAGACACTGTTGTCTCTCACTGTGTTCCCCATCCTTAGCACAGTGTCTGGCACATAGTAGTTGGTAAAGAAATATTTGGTGGCTCACTTACTACTTTAATGGAAGAATACAAATGAACTAGTTAAAGGGCACAAAGAAGGGGGATAGAGTAGAAATCTAAGAGACAGAAGAGGAAAGACCTGGGAGCTGAGCATATAGCACAGTGTGAGAGGGTGGACTCTGGACTTGACCTAACACTTACCACCTCGGCTTAGAGCCCAGCATTTCATTCAGCCTCACTGCCCTCATATGTCAAATGGGAATTACAAACATACCTGTTTCAAGTGGGGTTCAAATGAATGTCAAGAGCTTAATACACTGCTTGGCACCAAGTAAGTACCCAATAAATGCTAGCTATTGTCATTTACATTGAGGAGAGAGGGACAAAGTGCTAGGCTGTTTGAGTGAGTGCCATGGTGACAAATGAATATAAGAAAAACAAGACATAAAGGGAGGTTTCCAGGATTATATTAAATCTTTCTAAAGATTTAACCACAAGTAGCAAACACACTTTTATGCGATGGACTTGTAAAAAATGCAATTCTATCTTTTCAAATTTTGCAGCATGAGAAACAAAAGAGTATGTGTAACCTGTGTGCACAATTTCAAGAATCACAGTAAAAAGTACACCTGCTTGTTCACCACCAGCTTGAGAAATGGCACATTTCCCTTATTCTAGGGGACATATCCATGAAAATACTGCTGCGTGGAATATTTGAGGTTTTCCTCCCTATGTTCTCCTCTAGCACTTTTATGGTATTGCAACTCATATTTAAGTCTTTTGTCCATGTTGAGCTTATTTTTTATATGGTGTAAGTTTGTGGTTGAGTTTCATTTTTTTGCATGTAGCTGTCTAGTTCTCCCAACACCATTTGTTGAAGAGGCTATTTTTACTTCGTTTTATGCTTCTGCCCCCTTTGTTGAATATTAATTGACCACAGAGACACGAGTTTATTCCTGGCCTCTCTATTCTGTTCCATTGATCTCTGTGTATGTTCTTATGCCAGTACCAGACTGTTTTGATGACAGTGGCCTTGTAATATAGTTTGATATCATGTATTGTGATCCCTCCTACTTTGTTCTCCTTTTTCAGGATTGCAGAGGCTATTTGAGGTCTTTTGGTTCCATATAAATGTTTAGAGTATTTGTTCTAGATCTGTGAAATATTTTATTGGTATTTTAATGGTCATTTCATTGAATCTATAGATTGCTTTGGGTAGTATGGAAGTTATAATAATGTTAATCCTGCCAGCCCATGAACACAGTATATGCTTCCATTTATTTGTGTCTTTCTTAATTTCTTTCTTCAATGTTGCATAGTTTTCTGAGTACAGATCTTTTACCTGCTTGGTTAGGTTCACTTCTAGGCACTTTACTTTTTTTGTTGCTATATGAAATAAGATTTTTTTCCTGGTTTCTGTTTCTTATATTTCATCATTAAGCAAGGGTCATAAAGGAAAGAATGAGCAAATGGGACTTTATCAAAACAAAAAGCTTCTGCATGGCTAAAGAAAACATCAGCAAAATGAAAAGGGAACCAACCGTATGGGAAAGTTATTTGCCAATAATACTTCATACAGGAACTTAATCTCTAAAATATATAAGGAACTCACACAACTCCACTCCAGGAAGACAAACAATCCAATTTAAAAATAGGCAAAGGACCTGAACAGACACTTCTCCCAGGAGGACATGCAGATGACCCAGAGACATATGAAAGGATGCTCAGCTTCACTAGCCACCAGAGAGATGCAAATTAAAACCACAACGAGATACCACTTCACACTGGTCAGAATGGCCATCATAAACAAATCAACAAACAAGTGCTAGAGAGGTTGTGGAGAAAAGGGAACCTTAGTACACTGTTGGTGGGAATGCAGACTGGTGCAGTCACTGTGGAAAACAGTATGGAATTTCCTCAGAAAACTAAAAATGAAACTGCCTTTTGCCCGGGCAATTCCGCTGCTGGAATTATAGCCTAAGAATCCTGAAACACCAAATTCAAAAGAACCTATGCGCCCCAATGTTCATAGCAGTGTTATTTACAATAGCCAATTGTTGAAAGCAACCTAAATGTCCATCAGTAAATAAGTGGATCAAAAAACTCTGATACATTTATACAATGGAATACTATGCAGGAGAAAGAAAGAAGGAACTCTTACCCTTAGTGACAGCATGGATGGAACTGGAGAGCATTTTGCTTAGTGAAAGGAGCCAGGTGGTAAAAGATAATCACCATATGATTTCACCTATAAGTGGAACTTAATCAACAAAACAAGCAAGCAAAATGTAACCAGAGACACTGAAATAAAGAACAACCTTACATTAACCAGAGGGGAGTGGGGAGGGAAATAATAGGGAGGGAGAAAAGGGGAAGGGTCATCAAGGAGCATGTATAAAGGACCAATGGACAAATCCAAAGTGGGGAGGGATTGGTTGTGGGAGGTGAGGATAGATGAGGCAAGAGAAAGTGGAGGAAAATGGAGACAACACCATTGTCTCCATTGTTGTTTAAATGGAACTTAAACAACAACAGTAAACAAACAAACAAATAACTAACTAACTAAATAAATAAAAAAGAGCAGGCGAATTTCAATAACCTTGAGCCTCAGATGCTCCTCTGAATCACACCCATACTCTTAATCCCACAAGAGGAAACCACTTTCTTGAACTTGGGGTTCATCATTCTCTTGCTTTTTTTATAGTTCTAACTTGTATCTAACTTAGCTTTGCATATTTCTGAATGATATGCACATGGAATCACTAGATACATTCTTCGCAACTGGCTTCTGCTGAGCATTAAGTTTGTTGAGATTCATCTCTGCTGATGTCTGTAGCAATAGTTCATTCATTTTCATTGATGTGAGATCCCATTTTGTGAATATACCATATTTATTTATCTACTCTATTAACAGTTGGAAAATTGGTTTGTTTCCAGTTCTTTAGACATTATAAACAATGCTTCCTAGAGCATAGAGGCAAGAGATTATTCCAGGAATATATACTTGATAATTGAAACAGAATTGACTATTTACGAGTTATGCTCACCTTCTTAGTTAGATAATGCCCTTTTGTTTTCCAAAACATTACATCAGTTTGGAAAGACTTAAATAATAAATCTGTTCAAACACTTGAAAATGTTTCAAATTAATCCACCCAGAAGTATGAACCAGAAAAAAGAGAGCAAATGTCTTTTCAAATTCTCACCTCTGTCCGGGCCTCGACATCACAGGCAGTTGCCGCAATGGTGAGAGGGTGAGAGCAGCTTTGCTCTGCACGACCATGTTCGCAGACCTCAGCGGGCGACATAGTGACTCTGACTGATCTCCCGCAGGGCCACCTGCATTGCCAAGTTCGTCAGCACAGTGGCAGCGTTGGCAATGGCTCCATCTCGTTTACTGGACAGGAGGTTTATTACTGCACTGATACCATCAGCTTCGGCAGCAGCACTGGGTAAATGAAGGCAAAATGAGTGTCATTCATCTAAGTCCAAGAAATTATCTTTGGAGTGTACAACTGAGCTATGAAACAAATAAGTACATAAATACCATTCTAGAAATAAATTAATTTACAATGTGATAAGCCCAGAATTGAGGCTTTAGCGATTTAAATGAACTCTGGGAGACTTCCGCCAAGATGGAGGCGTAGGTGGAAGCGCTGTGCCTACTCACACAACCAAGTTTAAAAACAATAAATTTTAGCAACAAAAACACAGCCAAACCACAGAAAATTAAACTACACGGAAATCTGACAACAACTAACCCTTCAGCCAAACTGGTAAGAGGGGCAGAGCCAGCAACAGAGTGAGGTCAGGCAGGAAAGATCCACCGGACCAACCCAGACACGCAACCCAGGTGCGCAGGCAGCTGTGAGTGGATCCCAGGTGTGGAGTAGCAGTGGGCAGACCCACTGAGGGCTGACCATGGTCACACATTCTCGCGCAGATAAACCAGTGAAGGAGCGAGCAGTGAGACGGACCATGCAGTGGTGGGAAGCGGTAGAGGGGATCGATATTGTCCCTCTCTGACCTCAGTGTCCCAAACCAGCGACCTGGGTGGCCCCACCATGGTGAACAACCAAGGCTCTGCTCCTCATACCTAACAGGCACAAACAGATCAAAACATGGCTCAAGAACAACTCAGAGCCCCAGAGCCAATAAATCTAAGCAATGAAGAAATAGCCAAACTTTCAGATGCACAGTTCAAAACACTGCTGATCAGAATGCTCACAGAACTGGTTGATTTTAGTCACAAATTAGAGGAACATATGAAGGCTAAGCTAATTGAAATGAATGGAAATGCACAGGAAACCAAAAGTAATGGAAAGGAAACTGGGACTCAAATCAAGGGAGTAGGCCAGAATTCAAAAAAATGAGGAGAGGCTTAGGAACCTTCAGGACATCTTTAAATGTTCCAACATCCAAATTATAGGGCTACCAGAAGGGGAAGAGGAAGAGCCACCAGTGGAAAACTCATTTGAACAAATAATAAAGGAGAACTTCCCCAATCTGGCAAAGGAAATAGACTTCCAGGAAATCCAGGAAGTTCAGAGAGTCCCAAAGAAGTTGGACCCAAGAAGGGACACACCAAGGCACATCATAATTATATTAACCAAGATTAAAATGAAGGAGAGAATCCTAGAAGCAGCAAGACATAAGGGGACAGTCATCTACAAAGGAGTTCCCATCAGACTGGCAGCGGATTTCTCCAAAGAGACCTTACAGGCAAGAAGAGGCTGGAAAGAAGTATTCCAAGTCATGAAATCCAAAGACCTCCATCCAAGATTGCTCTATCCAGCAAAGCTTTCATTTAGAATGGAAGGGCAGATAAAATGCTTCTCAGATAAGGTCAAATTCAAGGAGTTCATCATCACCAAGCTCTTATTATATGAAATGTTAAAGGGACTTATCTAAGAAAAAGAAGATAAAAAAGATGAACAGTGAAAGGACAGCAAACTCACAGTTATTAAGAACCACACCTAAAACAAAAGCAAACTAAGAGGACAGCTAGATCAGGAGCAGAACCATAGAAATGAAGATCACATGGAGGGTTAGCAACAGGGGAGTGGGAGGAGGAGAAGAGCGGGAGAAGGTACAGAAAGTAAGTAGCATAGATGGTAGGTAGAAAATAGATAGGGGGGAGGGCAAGAATAGTATGGGAAATATAGAATCTAAAGAACTTGAGACACGTGGTCACAAACTAAAGGGGGGAATAGTGGGGGAGGGGGTGTGCAGGGTGGGGGAAACAGAACAACTGTAATGGCATAATCAATAAAATATATTAAAAATAAATTAAATAAATGAAGTCTGGGAAATGTCAGGTATGAATGAATTTAAACAATCCTTTTCCTTTATCTGTAGCTTTTGGTTATAGAAAAATGTGTGACTACTTAGAAATGCTTCTACAGATGTTCATTTTTATTCTATTTTAGTCTTAAAGATTTTATTTATTTTTAGAGGGAGAGAAAGGGAGGGAGAAAGCGAGGGAGGGAAACGTCGATGTAATAGAAAAACATCTATTGGTTGATTCTCCTACAAGCCCTAACAAGGAACTGACCTGCAACCCCAGCAAGTGCCCTGACTGGAATTGAACTGGAGACCTTTTGCTTTTCAGGATGACACTCAACCAACTGAGCCACACCAGTCAGGGCTACAGATGTTCATTTTTTAAATCAGTGATACTTACAAGGCCAGGCAATTCTATTCAAAGAAGAAAGTCTATTAAAATATTCCTAACCAGCAGGAAAACAGAGCTTTAAATAGGAGGAATGAGTGAGCATGAGAACTCTGGATTAAGTTAAAATTCTTTAGCCCATCTTTCCCTTTTTAAAATTAGGTTGCTAATTATTGGCAACCTAATAATTAGAGGTTAACACATTTGAAGGCAGCAAGCCACTTTGCATGTGAATATTGCTTTTATAAATTAAACATCAAAAATCAAAGTCATGACATTTACATAAGTAGGTAATTTCAGTAATGTAGGCATATTCAGTTGTTAAATTTCTGATCTCTCATATAAAAAGATTACAGTATATTAACATTTTTAACAAATTAAATATCCTTTTAAGAACACTATACTTGCTATAGTCCTTGCTTTGTAAAACTTAAGAAGCTCATAAAATAGAACATATAAAAAAGGGATCATTTTAATGTCTGGAAGACAGTCAATGATTTGCTATAATGTTTGGGATGGCTTCAAATAAGAGATGTTCCAAGCAATAACATACATAAAGCATCCTGGCTTCAAAGAAAGATCCAAAATTGTGCTAAAAATTCATTTAAATCATCGTTCATTTTATCATAGGAATAAAGGTAATGAAGACAGTAAAAGCATATTTGAGACTCCAATAATATCAACATCTATTTTAAGTTTATATTTGGCACATTTTTCAAAACTTACAGCTATTTTAACAGCCCCAGAATAAGCGAGGCTGTGTGATGCAGCCCATCACCCTGTACTCTGACGCACTTAACTTAGTTGGCACTGTCACTTGCATTTCCTGATTGTAAAGGAGAATTGACAAACTTAAGGACAGAAGTTATCACAATTTTCCAGAAAATAAATCCTCGATAAGGAGACCAGTAGCTGTAGGTGAAAGGAAGCTGCCATAGTGATGCAAACCAGCTCGGAAGGAGCCTGAACAGCAGAGACTGGGGACAGAAGTGACAAGAGGTGGCAGCTCTGAGGAATAAGGGCTGGGTTGGTGTTAACCTCGAAGGTACTTCCCACCCCTGGTTTATACATAAATCCACCCAGAAAGCACACCATGCTAATACCAAGGCAAAGTCAACACCTGATTCCATTTCTCCCTTATTTGCTACATATTTATCCCTTCTGGGGTATCTCTGGCATCCCTTGAAACTAAAATTTGGTTAGATGGCATTTAACTCAAATTTCTAAGAATAAATAAGAATATTGGGAAGAAGTTAATTTCCTTTCTTAGGGAAAAAAACACTTTTAAGATAATGTCACATTTAATTCTCTCTTCTATTATTCATTGATATGGCGGTCTTTTGATTTTATGAATACGGGAGAATTTCAGGGTTCCAATTTATTCATTTATCAGAAACATCATATTCAACTTACAGTTGAAACACTGAATTTAAAAAACTTACAGCAAGAATTGTAAATGATGAATATATTCTAACTAATTAATATATTCTTAAATCTTTCCAAAAAGCATTTTTTCCTCTGACTTATTTTTCAGGCACTTAATGCAATAAGTTCCTTAAACCAAATACTTTTTAATTTTTCCCTCAATCATTATAAACATACCTTGACCAGTCCATTGTCACTTAATAGTTTTTTATTTGATGATTTTCACTGTTTAAAACATCTTGGAGACTAAGAAAGAGCACACAGGGGAGGTATTTCAACTGCACCCAAGACAAGCCAGAGTGTATTAGGTAAATGCTTACCAATAAATTCTCAAAGGCTTTGTCTTCTGTGTATCAGGGAGCTTTTGGAAAATTTAAGTGAGTACACAGGGTCATGCTGCATCCTTTTAATTTCTCTTGTTTAAAAGTAAATGGGGTCATGATGATTAATTTCTCTTGTTTATAAATCAGGTGTACCTCTGCTCACAGCCTTTCTGCTTGGGTTTTGTCTCTGCCTTTCTCCTTTGCTAACTTATATTTGGCTTTGGTTCATTTATAATCCACCTTCTGCTCTTTTCTTTGCTCTTTATGGAGACAGGAAAGGGAAGTACATAAAAACGTGGTTGCTTAAAACACCAGAGACTCTAGCACACAGTGGAATATGGCTTTCACTAAACTGAACACAACTGCCAGCACAGGAAGACGGGCCACACACGCACAGCTGGGAGAGCCATGTGCATGGTGTGGACATGTCTGCCCATGACCATGTGCCCGTCTGTTCATGTGGGAAAAGCATCGCTGTGATTAAATTATTATGGTAAACAAAACAAGCTACTATTCTTACCTGAAAACTAGGTTCAGTTATAAGAGTGCAGAATTTGTACTTAAAAAAAAAGAATTGCATTAATTTTGCATCTCTCAAACCTAATTCTGTTTTATTTCTCCCTGTCTTACGCACACAAGCGGAAGCTGCCGTGTTTCAGAGCACACTTCAGTCTCCTAGACGGTGCTGCGCTATCCGAGTGAGTGGGGCAGCAGTCACACTGCTCGGTTAGAACGTCCAGCATTACAGGGCCATACGTCATCACGATAATCTGAAAATATTTCCTGATACTTACCACCATTAGTCTCCATCCAGCTGGAGTTTAACCAAATAAGATTTTTATGTGTAAATTCAAAAAGAGAATCAAACTAAAATCAAAATAGAGAATATACAAAAGCATCTGTTTATGTCACTTGATATCTGTAAAGAGAAGTCAAGTTTGACATGTCATGTGTATCCAACCTGTTACCAAGTCCTGACTATTTTCCACCTCCATATTTCTCGAATCTCTCTTTTCTCATCTCTGTCTC